TGAGCTGGATAAACAATTAACACGGATGGTTCTTGTTCAAGTTATTTTCAATTCGATTGTTTTATTACCATATGTAATAGTATTTATTACCACATTTTATTTGCCAAGTGATAATTTCAATTTCTTTCTTTTGATTTTAAGTATTAATCTACATACTGTTGCATTGGCAGTGAGTAGAATAATTACTTGTTGAAATTATTTCTGATTATTCTTTTTTTAGAGTCCTTTCTACATATACGTTTGTGTATCGAAACGATTTCGTCAACAATTCAAACATGTCTTCTATACACTACATGTCAACCGATGGAGACAACCTAATCAAGTACTACCGGAAATACCAAACATTTCAATAAATATGGTCAATTAACAATGGCAAATAGATATTTCATCTTTGATTAATAAAGTTTTCAAAGTGTTGTTTACTCTCTTACAAATATGAATTGAGATATCAGTAAGGCAAGGATAAGGATGCTGGCTGCTCACTCTCATTCTGAAGATGATATTTTTCTGGAAAGCATTCGTCAACTGCATAAAATAATGATTTCATTTGAATACCATATCTGTTTAAATAATCCATTATAGCTTAAAATGCGTTTAACATGAGTGGAAATAGAATCAAAAAGAGTATTCATATCAGATTGTTTTTCGTTCTATAAAACATTGACCCGAGAAAAAAGTATTAATGAATGCGCAGATTTTATCATGAAACAAAAGTTGTGTTTAGTCAACCCGTTCTTCTGGATTAAAAGAAAAAAACATTCAAGAGGAGAATGCAACGCTCTCGGAAATTAGTTTTCACTCTGTGCTAATTCTTTCATTTACACCTTCTATACAAATCAATCGACATGACAATCTCGAATCTGATTAGTTTTTGGATGTATACGATCTTCATAGTACCTTCAACATTATGCAGTATCTTTAATATTTATTATCTTCTTACGAAACGAACATATCGCAAAGAACTAAGCAATCATGTTATTATCTTTATTCTTATTTTTGCTCTTTTCTTCACGCTCACCGATACTGTTTGGTGTATATTTTATTATCATACGAATTCATCGTTACTATCAACGCCTGC